GTCCGTGTGTGGAGAATCCATGATCATGGCCGCAGGCTCAGGGTCTGGTCTACCCTCCCCATCCCAGCTCAGGGAACTCATCAGAGAAAGGAATACAGAACCCGCCCCCCGCGCAGTGGCTGCTGGGAGGTTCGGCGAGGGCTGCGGCTGTGAACTTGCTGGGTGGCAGTGGGCCTCAGGCGCTGGCTGTGATGAACAGGGGTGAGCGGTCGCCATTGCGCCAGGGCCATCACTCTTGGTGGGGAGTGGACCGGGGCTGGGGTGGCTGAGCCCAGCTGCCCCTGCCAGCTCCAGGCTGTCACGCACCCCAGCAGCCGCACCAGGAGAAGCCGTGCTTCTGGCTGTTTGAAACACAGGCCGCTAAGGCCTACACTGGGTGACCGAAAGGGGGCTGGGCTTCGGCAGGGGCAGGGCGCTTCCCAGGGGTCGGGCTGCGTCAGAGCAGCATGGTGACTTGGGCAAGCTTCCCGCACCACATGGTGGGCCCTGTTCTGTGTAGGACACAGCGTCCCAGTAGTGGGCTGTGCCCACGGGGCTCCTGGTACCCGGCACAGCCGATTAGAGGCACCAACATTCCGACTTCCTGCCCCCTCCTGCCCCTCCCCCAGAATGTGGCTGACCTCGTGCTGCTGGGAGGCCCAGTGCTTCTGTGGTAGGTGGCCAATTTGCCTTCAATCCACAGGGAAGAGAAAGGTCGATGGGCAGTTATATATTTCTGCATTTACTTTTTTAAAAGATGTATTTATTTATTTGGAAGAGAGAGAGAACCTTCCATGTGCTGGTTCACTCCCCAAATAGCCCCAATGGCCAGGACAGAGCCAGACCAAAGCCAGGAGCCAAGAGCTTCTCCAGGGTCTCCCATGTGGGTGCAGGGGCCCAAGCACTTGGTCCATCTTCCGCTGCTGTCTCAGGTACTTAGCAGGGAGCTGGATCAGAAGTGGAGCAGCCGGGACTCGAACCAGTGCCCTAACAGGATGCCCATGTGGGGAATTTGCCACCTGGGCTACCTGCCCGCCAGAGGATGGACTCAGAAATCCGAGGGAAGCCGAAAGCGAGGCTTTGTCTCTTCTGGGTCTTGAGAGTGCAGAGCGGCCCGGGGCAGCAGCCTGGAGAAGCAGCCTGGGGAAGCAGCCTGGGGAAGCAGCCTGGGGCAGCAGCCTGGGGAAGCAGCCCGGGATTCCCAGGCCCCCGGTTCCTTTTATCCCTTCCCCCACTTCTCATTGGCTGAGAAAGCTGGGAGGTGCAGTTGAGCCCAACACGGCACCTGAGATGGGGAGGGGGCATAGAGGAGGGGTTCCCAGACCTGCTGCTGGGCAGGTAAGGGGGGACTTGTATCCAGGAGGGTGCTTGGCACTGGTAGGGCACTGGCGTGGACGGGCCCTGTGGTGACCCGGTCTAGCCTGCTCCTGATAGAGAAGCCGTCGGAGGGAGGGGTCACTTCCTCTGTTCTCAGGACAGAGACAGAAACTGAGGGCCTTCGGTACCTTTGTCCTGCTGAAGGCAACTTGGGGAGAAGCAAGCACTGTCCACTCTTAAAGGGCCCCCACTCTCATTCCAGCAGGGAACCGACCTCACTGCCTGTTAGCCCTCTAACTCCTCGCACCGCCCCCAGAAGAGTGGCCCCGGACTGCTGAGGGGCCCTGGTGGAAGGCAGGGTTCCCCGGCATCCTCTGGGGTGCTACCTGGAGAGCTGTAGCTGTCAGGGGCGGGCTCTGTCGGCGAGCCCAGCCGTTAGCCTACTCTGGGGTTTCCGGAGTCTCTCCCGCGTGCTCCTGAGGCCCGAGGTCGCGGCTGTACTGAGGCTAAGCTGGTTTTTGTGTAGATACGGCACTGAGCATTTCTAACCCGGTGTCGCAGGCGGCGGCCACAGCAGCCACCCTCTACAGCACTTACTTATCAAAGCTCGAGGTAACCTTTGCGTTGGAAATCGATTAAAATCAGGAATTGCTCTTAAAATGCAGACCCTCTGGCAAATATCTGGCAAGAGTTCAAGTCCAGCATCTGGTGGACGTCGTGTTGGAAGGCCTTTCTCTGAGCCGCTTCTACGTGGCTCCATCGTCTTCGCTCCAAACCTCACAGAACCAAAAGATCCGTGGGTCGGGAGAAGGCAGAAAGGGCCCAGATCCCTGGTCCGGGCTCCCTGGTGTGACCCTGACACCCTGGTTGGAGCCAGCTGCAGCCCCCAGGCCCTGGGGACATTTCTCTTCAGAGCAGCAGGCTGTGGGTTTCCTTGCCACAACCGTAGCCTGGTTCTAGCTGCCCGTTCCGGTTTGCTTCGCCTGGCTTTGTTCTGTATTTGGCTTCTGAAGCGGGGCTCATTGTGTGTATCTGGGTGATTGACCCCTGACATGGACGGGCCCGGTCCCCCGCCCCTCCTGGCTACGTTTTTCTCTAGGTTGGTTCAGGCCATCAGTCTTGGTGGCCTCGTGTTGTGTGGTGGTAAAAATACCTCCCCGGGGGGCCCTCTGTCTCCACAGCAGGGTTTGCTGTGACGGTGGTCAGGGCGCAGCTGGCCAAGGGCCCAGGTGACCCTGCGGGGCTGACCGGGCGGCCTCCAGCTGCAGAGCTGTCGCTGCCCACACCCTGTGGCTGCTGGGGTCTCAGTGACTGGCCGTCCTTCAGCCCCGATGGCACAGCAGAGTTCCTCGTCCCGTGAGGTCACGCGTGCTCAGGAAGACACGGGCTGCCTCTTCATAGCCCAGGATTTCAGCACTGTGTGTCCTTGCTGGAAACCACATCGAGTCGGGCTGAGAGTCCAGGGTGTGGGGCGGCCTGTGGGGGTGTCCACATGAGGCTGGGCCTGCATCGGTGGACTCCAGAAGAGACAGGAGGGAGCCGCTCGTCCGAGGTGAGAAGACACGGGCAGAGCAGGGGAGGCGGAAACAGCCGGGCGGTGCCGGGCAGCCGGCGTGGTGCAGTCCTGGCCGGGCTGCTTTGCTCTGGGTCGTGGGTGCTATCACCTGGGGTGGGTGGGGGGCACCCTGCCATGTCCCCTCCCAGCCAGAGAGGGCAGGTGAGGGGCTGTCAGACCCACGAGGGGTGGGGTAGGTCTGGGGGTGGGGGCCGGAGTCTCCCTGCAGAGCTGGAACCAGAGCCAGCTCCTGGCGCCTGCAGGGTCGCCCATGCGCACGGCTCTGCCCGCCCTCCTCACCCTCCAGCCTCATGCCGGCTCCTACAGGAGGTGCAGGGGCCCGCGAGCCCTCCGCTGCACTGGCCGTGGGCGAGTTTTGTAGAGGGGAGGTCCTGGTGCGGCTGTCTTCGCAGGCCTTAGAACCCCTTTCAGGAGCGAGTGTGTGCCTGCTGGCTGGCCCAGGCGTCCCGCCCCCAGGGAAGCAGTGGTCCTGCCGAAATACCCAGACGCGTTCTCCGAAGCTGGGGTGGAGGGGCACGCAGGGTGGTTCCCCACGCAGCTCTGGGCGGGAGGCTGGAGCTCAGTGTGGCCCACAGCTCCCCTGCTGGGTGGGCCTGAGCCTCCCGCAGCTCCAGTGCCTGGGGTGTGCGATGGGGCTGGCGGTGTGCTCTCGCTGGACGCTGGCTGCGGCCTGCTGCCTGCCTGCCCTCCTCAGCTGCGTGACTTCTGCCCCTCGTCCCTCACCGCGCGGCTGCCCTGCCTCGGTGCACGGCTGCCGAGGGAGGTACTTGCAGAGCTGCAGGTGGTGTGGAGTGCTGGCGTGGGCACGGCTGCCGAGCATGGGGTGTGCAGATGGCTTGCGAGGGAGTGGCCAAGGCTCAGTCCTTCCCAGGGTCTGAGGAGAGCTCAACCCAAAGTGTTCTGGAGAGAAGAGCCAAGCAGAAGTAGCCGCCCCGAGCTGCCTGGGAACCCGGGCGTGGTGGCTGACGCTGGTCCAGGGGTCCTCCAGTGCCCCCGCCGCCGTTCCCTGCTCCTGAGTGCGGCTCAGGTGCGGCCGCCGCCGCCCTTGCTCTCCTCGCCGCCATGATGCGTGACTCCAGATCACCCTGGCTCCTGTGTGGGGGCGCTGTGCGGGTCCCAGGACGGCCCCTCCTCTCGGGGCACCCCTTCTGCAGAGTTCAGCTTCCTGGGGCGGCACCAGAGGCCGCGAGGCTCCTCTAGGAAACAGTTAGTTCCCTTTTACCAAAATCTAAGAACCGCAGAGCGAAGCACAGGCCTCCTGGGGCCGTGTGCATCCGCCGGAGCTGAGGGTGACACCTTGGGCAGGTGAGAAGGGGCGGACTTGCCACCCGCCTCTGCTCTCTGCCTCCGGGGTGCCGGGGCACCTGGCCCTGCTCCCACCCGCCGCGGATTCTCCCTGCCAGCGTTTGTCCACTGTCTGCTCGGCGTCCACAGGGGCCCTGGGAGCGCACACAGGACCCGGTGTCCCCGGGGCGTCTTCACAGAGTTGCCCCGTGGTCCAGTGGCTGAAGGTGTCAGGCTTGGGGGCGGGGGTGCAGCAGGGGTTCAGGGACTCCCGACGGGGTGTGAGTGGAAGGGGAAGCCCGGGCCGGTGGCCGAGAGGGCCCTCCCATGCAGAGTGGTGTGGGATCTGAGCTTGGAGGCACCGAGCCATCCGTGACCCCGGGAAGGCATGGCTGTCAGCTCTGGGCTCCAGCAAGGTTCTCGTGAGTCCGACCGAGGAGAGTTGAGTGAGGATGGGGGGCGGGGAGATCCCGGAAGAGGCTAGGCCACAGAAGCAGCCACGTCCCGCCCACTTGTGTCCGGGCAGGGCTGTGGTCCCAGTGGTTTCTGGGCTCAGTGTGGGGTCAGGACCCAGGTGCCACTGGCTCTGCGTACCTCAGACCTCGCGCCCATGTGTGAGGCTGGGGAGGCGGGGGTCCCCAGGCCCTGGTCCGCCTGGTAGCTGAGATGTCGCTGCTGACCATCGTGCCTGGAAGCCCACGTTTGTACTGCAGTGAGTCTTAATGTGAAGCCAGCCCGGGTGCTGCGCTTAGGGAACTAAGCGAGCTTCCTCCCACTTCTCAGACCCGCGAGAGTGAGTTTGGTGAACCATGAAAACAGGTGCTTTTTTACTTTTTCTTTTCAGGTTGTCCTGGCCCCAAAAAGCATGAGTTCCTGACGAGCGTCCTGGACGCGCTGTCCACGGACATGGTGCACGCGGTGTCAGACCCATCCTCTTCGCCCGGCAGGTACGGCTGCGGGGCGGGCCTGGCGGGAAGCCGGGGGCGCGGGCGCGGCGGGCTGACCTGGAGACAGCCGGGTCACGCGGGCTGCGTGGCTGCCCAGGGCCTGGGCGAAGGAGCCGCTGCACAGCCATGGAGTCGCTGCTCGGGTTTTAGCCGCAGACCCGCCGGGGACCATGTCCTGGAGGAGTCCGCACGTGCTGGTGTGGGCGCTCGCGGGGCCTGGGCGCGCGGGGGCCGAGCCCTGAGCGGCTGCGTTCCTTCCAGGCTCTCGGAACCCGACCCCAGCCACACGCTGGAGGAGAGGGTTGTGCACTGGTACTTCAAGCTCCTGGACAAGAATGCCAGCGGCGACATCGGCAAGAAGGAGATCAAACCCTTCAAGCGGTTCCTGCGGAAGAAGTCCAAGCCGAAGAAATGCGTGAAGAAGTTCGTGGAGTACTGCGACGTGAACAACGACAAGGCCCTGTCTGTCCAGGAGCTCATGGGCTGCCTGGGCGTGACCAAGGAGGAGGCCAGAGCCAGCACCAGGAAGCGGCACAGTAAGCACCTTCCTGGCCGTCCTGCCCTTCCCGGTAAACCTGAGAGCGTGCAGGTGACGGGCGGTGCCGGTCAGCCGGGCCTCGGCCACTGGGGGACGGTCAGGAGAGACAGCTCCGGGCGTGAGCCGGCCTCGTGCCCCAGCCTCCCCAGCCTGCTCATTCCGCCTTCTGACGTCCGAGGGGCCAGTCTGGGACCAGGGCACGCCCCTGCCCGCCCTGCCCAGGGACTCCGCCCGGCCAGCCTTCCCTCGGGTCGTAGCTGCTTTCCAGTCGAGTGTCTTTCTATGTGGGCCTGGCCCAACTCACCAGCTACCACAGGAGGGGACAGAGCCCCCAGGCCGAGCCCCACGACCCAGGGCCCAGGCAGCACTGCCCAAGGCCTGGACACCCCGGGGAGTCGCCCGTGTCCCTGGCCCCCTCGAGCCCTGGAGTGGAGACCAGGCTGCCCGTTCCGGCCGAGGCCTGTACGCTCCGTCTCGCTGGCTGCACCTCCTGTGTCCCCGAGGCCTGTTCAGGTGGCTTCTGGGCTCTCGTGCCCAGCTGACTGTGCCCTTCATTCCTGGGCCCTCGCGGGCTCTTCCTCGTGGCTATGGACCCTGTCCCGAGCCCGTGACTGGCTGCCCCTGCCGTCGCTGGGCGTCTGTTCTGTGTGTCTCTGTTTCTGGATGGCATGGGCTGGCCCGTAGCAAGGTGCACCGAAACCCGAGCCCCCGGTGCCGTTCGCCCTCCCCGGCGCTTGGCCCTGCCTGGGAAGCTGCCTGTCCGCAGCTTTCTGAAGCTCGCCTGAGTCAACGCGGACACTGGTCAGGCGGGCGGGCGGGGGCAGGGGAGGCCTTCAGGCACACGGTGTTCTCACACTGCCCACTGCTCCACCCTACCCTGTTTCCTGCAGAGAGACGCCCGGCTCGCCAGCCCTTTGCCCCTGTGAGGCTTGGCCGAGGCCAGGACCTCTGGGCTGGCGTGCGTGCTGGTCGTCCTCAGAGGCCGGGGCCCTCGGTTGGTGTGTTAGCCCTGGTGGCATTCAGTCCAGCTGAGTGGTGCTGACTCCTGCCAAGAACTCAGTCAGGAGTGGGTGTGCGCTGTCTCCCAGGGGCGGCTGGCCCCGGGCGTCGCGGTGGTGGGCGTGTCAGCCGTGGGACCTCCGATTTCCGTGGACGGCATGGCTGTGCTCTGTCCTGGGGCTCTGCAGGTGGCCTTGGGCCTTTATTATTTAACAGCTGTGTTGACCAGGATGAACCGAGGCAGAGGCACCGGCTCTCGGAAACGCAGCCCCCAGAGGACCGGAGCTGCCTGCTCAGCAAGCATGGGGCTGCCCTGGGAGGAGAGCGTGCGGCTCCGGCCGAGGAGTTCAGGGAAGGGTCCAGGGAGGGCGGGACTTGGGGACAGACCCAGCAGCCGGGAGGCTGCAGGCCAGGCGCCCGCCAGGGCACCACAGGCGGCCTTGAGGTCACACTGGCCTGAGTCCTTCCGTGTCTCAGGGCCGAGCAGTTTCCACCATGCCCAGAGACAGCGGCGTCAGCTGCGCGTAAGCAGTGCCCCAGAGCAGCCTCGCCGGGCGGGCCCTCCAGCCCCGAGACAGAGCTGTTCCCCAGGACCCCGCGCACGGGGCGGCGGCAGCCCCGGGGAAGGCCAGCTTCCTGCAGGTGCACGTCCGGCTGCGCTCATCCCGGCTGCTCCAGGGTGGGATTTGCACCGAGGGTGGGCGGCCAGCTTGATCGAGCTGTGGGGGCCTGAGAGGCCGGGGGAGGAGCCGCTCCTGTGTAGTCTGACATGGGAGGGGGTGGATACAGTGGCGTCCAGGGCCGGGGTGTGAGAAGGCCCTTGGGGAGTGTGTGTGTGTGTGTGTGTGTGGCACCGTGACTGGGGTCCCTGGGAAGCCCGGGGCTGGGAGATGAGGCACCTCCCGGGCTCTGTGGACAGCAGCCGTGGCGAGCCGGAGCTGTGGAAGGTTTCAGAGCATGGAGGCTTCTGGGTGCGTCCGTGTTGAGAGTCTGCTCAGCCACCGGCGTGGGGAACTGGGAAGCTGTCAGACCTCGCCCTCCTGCTCCGTCAGACGGCTGCCTGTCCTTGTTTCAAAACAGTACAATTCCAGAAAATGTGAGAGGCAGAGGACGGTGGCCACTGAAGACAAGGATAGGCACAGGCGCCATGCGGGGCCAGGCGGGCCAGTGCTGGCGTGGTCGGGGGCAGGGGCGGGGCAGGAGCTGTCGCTGGGCCTCTGGATCTGCTGGTTTGCATGGGGGAGGGGGATGAGCTCCTCCAGGCCGGCAGGGACCCGAGGGCAGAGCCCGAGGTGCAGGAGCCGAAGCTGCAGCCGATGAGCCCACTCCCGGGGGGCTGGGCCTGGGTTGGAGTCAGACAGTGATCCGGGACCTGCAGGGGAGGGGCGCTCCTCAGACAACCGCTCTGGGAGCTGGCAGCTGCTGTGGGCAGTGCCCCCATGTCGAGGCCGCCCCCTCGCTGCTCTAGAGACAGCGAAACTTGGTTTGAAGAGCACGCGGAGGAGCTGGGAGGGGAGAGCACGGATCAGGGTGGCCTCCCCGGGACGCAGCCTTCCTGGGCGATGGCGAGTCTGGATCGCCAAGTGCGCTTCCTCCCCAGGTGTGCAGGCTGGAGCGGGCCAGGGTGCGGGCAGCGGGCAGGCATGGAGAGGCCCGGCCGCCTGGCACCACTGCAGGGCAAGCCGAGCCGTGTCCCCAGCTCTTCTGCTGGCTGAGGCTGAGGCCCGGGATGGGTGCAGTCCCTGCAGGGGCTCAGGCTGGGTGTGAGGAGGGGGTGGGGGGCTGGGAGTGACCCGTGGCAGGGAGGAGGAGGAGGGGCTGGGAGTGACCCATGGCAGGGAGGACAGGAGGCTGGGTGTGGACTTGGGGGCTGGGGTCGGCTCTGTCTCCTGGGAGCCCACTGCTGGTCAGACGTGTGAACCACTGCAGAGTTCTGAGTCGTCCCCAGGGAGGTGCACAGACCAGGGACTGAGTTTGATTTTCTGGCCCGTGGGCGTCAGAGCACAAGCCCAGGACCCCTGCTGCTTGGTGAAATTAGACGAACGTTGGAGATTTGTCTGTGTTTACTTGAGCTTAAACCCGCCCCGTGTTCCTTGTAGACTTTTTGTAAGTTTTCACACAGTTTTATTGCCGGTTATTGTCCCCTGCCCTGCCGAGTGCGAAGCCGCGAGAACTCAGCCGACTCAGGAGGGTGAGCTGGGACACCCGGGAATCCCGGCTGCCGCTTCGTTTCCTGTGGATTTGCTCACAATGTCCGTTTTTTTCCTAAGAAGTGTGAGAAATCCAGGAAGATAGGAGCCTGGGCCCTTCCCAGAGGCTCCGTCTCTCCCCAGAGGGTGTTGTGTGCTGTGCCCTGCTTGTGTCCCCTCTGATCTCTCCCAGAGGGTGTTTGTGTGCTGTGCCCCGCGTGTGTCGCCCCCCTGTCTCTCCCCAGAGGGTGTTTGTGTGCTGTACCCCGCGTGTGTCGCCCCCCTGTCCCTCCCCAGAGGGTGTTTGTGTGTTGTGCCCTGTGTGTGTCGCCCCCCTGTCCCTCCCCAGAGGGTGTTTGTGTGCCGTGCTCCGCCTGTGTCGTCCCCCTGTCTCCCCAGAGGGTGTTTGTGTGCTGTGCCCCGCGTGTGTCGCCCCCCTGTCCCTCCCCAGAGGGTGTTTGTGTGCTGTGCCGCGCGTGTGTCGCCCCCCTGTCCCTCCCCAGAGGGTGTTTGTGTGCTGTGCCCCGCGTGTGTCGCCCCCCTGTCTCTCCCCAGAGGGTGTTTGTGTGCTGTGCCCCGCGTGTGTCGCCCCCCTGTCCCTCCCCAGAGGGTGTTGTGTTGTGCCCCGCGTGTGTCGTCCCCCTGTCCCTCCCCAGAGGGTGTTTGTGTGCTGTGCCCCGCGTGTGTCGCCCCCCTGTCCCTCCCCAGAGGGTGTTTGTGTGCTGTGCCCCGCGTGTGTCGTCCCCCTGTCCCTCCCCAGAGGGTGTTTGTGTTGTGCCCCGCGTGTGTCGTCCCCCTGTCCCTCCCCAGAGGGTGTTTGTGTGCTGTGCCCCGCGTGTGTCGTCCCCGTGTCCCTCCCCAGAGGGTGTTTGTGTGCTGTGCCCCGCGTGTGTCGTCCCCCTGTCCCTCCCCAGAGGGTGTTTGTGTGCTGTGCCCCGCGTGTGTCGTCCCCCTGTCCCTCCCCAGAGGGTGTTTGTGTGCTGTGCCCCGCGTGTGTCGTCCCCCTGTCTCTCCCCAGAGGGTGTTGTGTGCTGTGCCCCGCGTGTGTCGTCCCCCTGTCTCTCCCCAGAGGGTGTTGTGTGCTGTGCCCCGCGTGTGTCGCCCCCCTGTCTCTCCCCAGAGGGTGTTTGTGTGCTGTGCCCCGCGTGTGTCGTCCCCCTGTCCCTCCCCAGAGGGTGTTTGTGTGCTGTGCCCCGCGTGTGTCGTCCCCCTGTCCCTCCCCAGAGGGTGTTTGTGTGCTGTGCCCCGCGTGTGTCGTCCCCTGTCTCTCCCCAGAGGGTGTTGTGTGCTGTGCCCCGCGTGTGTCGTCCCCCTGTCTCTCCCCAGAGGGTGTTGTGTGCTGTGCCCCTGTGTGTGTGTTGTCCCGTCTGGTCCCTCCCCAGAGGGTGTTTGTGTGCTGTGCCCTGCGTGTGTCGTCCCCCAGGCTCTGTCTCTCTCTCCCAGGGCTGTTTCCGTGCCTGTGCGTGCGCTTCCGCCGTGTGGCCTTGCTGCCTGTTTATTCTGGACATTTGCATTTTGTTCCATTAAAATTCATCATTTATTTCTTTATTATGTTCGGCCCTTCATGCATTTTAAGTAGTATGCTCCCTACTCTTGGTTTTCGAATGGAATATTCCACCAGATGTCATTAATGAAATTTATCTTCACTTCATCTACGTAGCAGAGTTTTATATTTCCTTATACTTAAGACATTAACTTTTCTTATCATAATATGCCTTTAATCTACCCATGTAGATTAAGAACATAGAACAAACCAAGTCAAAACTGGCGATTGTTGGCAGCCGAACCGGCTTAGGACAGAGTCAGGGTA